TTCCTGGGGCCCAAAGACCTCTTCCCTTATGAGGAGTGCAAGGAGAAGTTCGGGAAACCCAACAAGCGGAAAGGGTTCAGCGAAGGTTTGTGGGAGATCGAGAACAACCCCACGGTCAAAGCCTCTGGCTACCAGGTGTGTTGTGAGCCAGGGGAGGGTCCAGTGCTTCCATCCCACCTCCCTCCCCACCATTCCCCCTTCTGGGTGCCCTCTGTGACCCCCCGTGTCTCCCCAGCCCACCCAGAAGAAGAGCTGCCCCGAGGCCTCCGAGCGGGAGCCGGAGGGCGACGGGGAGAAGAAGGGCAATGCAGAGGGCAGCAGTGATGAGGAGGGAAAACTGGTGATCGATGAGCAATCCAAGGAGAAGAACGAGAAATCTGGGATCAAGAGGAAAGCAGAAGATGCTTTGGAGGTACCTGGGGCAGGGGAGAACACTGGGGATGGGGCAGTGGGTGAGAGGCATTGGGCTGAGCTGAGCTCCTCCCGCCTAGGACTCCCCCAAACACCCCAAGGAGGCAGAGGGGCAGGAAGGGGAGAAGAAAGTGGACAATGAAGAGGCTCCCAAAGAGGAGGCAAAACCCAACCCGGGGGAAGGGGAGAAGAACAGCGACGCTGCCAGCGTGCCGGACGCCAACGAAGCCAAGCAGGAGGACAAAGAGGAGGTCAGAGACCACAAGGAGAGGTGAGGATGGTGTGTTGACCCTTATGCCTCACCACTGGGCTCCTCCTGGCCTGGGGGACACCTGAAACAGGAGGTTCCTGACCCCACAGGGTGTGACTGGGTGTCTTTTTGTCCCCCCTCTTCTCCCAGCCTGTAGTGGCCTCCGTGGTGAGCTGATCCTTCCCCGCTGGGCTCCTGGGTGCTGCCCCGTGTCGCCCTCGACAGCTCGTCGTGTCCAGAGCTCTGGATGAGAGAAACCACCCCAAAATGAAATTAAAAAGAGAGAAAAAACAAACAAACCACAAAAAAACCCCAACAAAACCGAGAGAGAGAGAGGAATGCAGAGCGGCCCAGTACAGACCCTGAGCGCCCCAGGCCCTGGGCACACGCTTTGTATTAGTGATTCCTCGGGGCTGAGCAGTTGATTTGAAATAAAAGCGATTCTTGCCTTTTTAAAGCGTTTCCAGGCCCTGGGTTGGGCCCTGCCCCCGGTGTGGGGGGTGGTGGGGTCGTTTGGGCTGCCTAGAAAGGGGAGAAATAATGCCAGAGATGCTCCAGCAGCTCTGGGGTGTGGAGCACATGGGGACCTGGGGGAAGAGCTAGGGGAAGGTTTGGGAGAGGAGATGTTTAATAGAATAGAAACCGTGGAATTGTGGACTATGCTGAGCTGGAAGAGACCGA